GGACATGGAATGAAGTTAAAAAAGATATATTAAGATGGGAGTAACTACAGTTGTAGTTGTTGGGGAGAATTTCTGTGATAAAGATTAATGTCTTGTCTAGAATTATGTTTTTGTTTCAGGCAATACCTGTTTTGGCAAATGATGTACCATTTAAACAGTGGTAAAAAGATATATCTAAGTTTGTATGGCAAAGAAAAAAGCCACGTGTTAAATATAAGGTGTTACAAGATGCAAAGGAAAGACGAGGATTGGGTTTACCTGATTTGAAACTGTATTTTGCAGGTTGTTGTTTGCTTTAGATGAAAAAGTGGGTGTTACTGAGAAACAGAAGACTTTTAGAGTTATAAGGACATGACCTGAGATTTGGGTGGCATGGATATTTGTGGTACAAGGTTAATGTAGATTTCAAAAATCATTATCTTAGACATGCCTAATTGAGATTATGGAATAGATATACATCTAGGTTGTGCTCAAAAACACCTTTGTGGCTCTCAGCACAAGAAACATTCTATAGATGAGAAATGATAGGCAAATGCAAATGGTTAACATATCATGAAATACTAGAATTCTGTCAAGAGGAATATAAAATAAAATCAAGAGAACAACTGATGGCAGAGGGACATAGTTGCCAATAGTTTTCTTATTTACAGTTATCAGAAAGATTTAAAGTAGATAAAAGAATTTATGGCATTGAACAATGTAAGACTGATTTTGAAACAGAACTGCGTACAAATAATGAGCATGTGGTTGCTAAAATGTATAAACTTTTATTGAAATTTGAAACAGAAGATGTTAATAACAATAGAACAAGGAATATATGATAAAGTGGGATAAAAATTTGGTCATAATACACAGATGGAACAATGGGAAAAATCCCATTAGATCTGGGAGGGAAGGCATGCTACACATTCCATCGGCCAGGGACTTGCACTGGTAGGCAGGCCTTCTCTGCCATGGCTCCCTTGTAGAACACTGTCCCCCCTGAAATGAGGCTCGACCCTTCCCTGCTGTCATATAGGAAGTCCCTCAAGACCTGGTTATGTCATCAGGCCTGGGGGTCTTTGGGGACCAGAGACATTCTTAGATGGCTCCACTGTAATTGATATTCTGCTCTCTCCATAAGATTTGTATATTTTAAAATCTATTTTTTTAAAATCTGTGATAATGTTTTTATTCTTATAATAACTGTTTATCTTTTTATAGTGCCTGTTTTTATTCACTTGTTATTTTAATTGTTGTACACTGCCCAGAGTCACTTTGTGTGAGATGAGTAGCTATATATATATATAAATAAATAAATAAATAAAATAAAATAAAATAAAATAAAATAAAATAAAATATGTGGTTGAAAGGACTGAAATTTACACTATGTTATACAGTGGTACCTCTAGTTATGAACGCCCCTCCTTACGAATTTTTCAAGATATGACCAGCTCCGGCCCCAAAAATTTACCTCTACTTGC